GGCCGGTTGTGCAGCAGTAGCACACATAGAAATAGAATGAATAGAATGGGCTTGGAACCTGTAACCCTGGTAATTTAACTGGTAAACTCATGGGTACACTCGCAGCGAGAGGAGAAAATTTGCTATTCTAACAGTTATTATGGAGACCGCGTCAGCATTTGACTGACCGTCATCCAAAATTCCATGACCATCACAGCCTTAGTGTCAACCCATATCTTTACACTGGCATTAGCACGCAACCAGATTCATGGAGAATCCTTCCAATAACATTTCATTTTACAAAACCAACTGACACAGAGCTCTGAAAATAAACAGCACACACTTTCCCTGTCTTTGCCACACAAAACAATTCTGGTGAACAATTTTCTGGTAATGAGGGTCCTTTAAACCCAATTAAACTCTTCAAGTCAGTAGACATTCAATATCACTCCTTATTATTGGAATAATGTGCCACCTAATGTGGTGGAATAATTTGCTACATAATGTAGACAGTGTTTGGACACTGATTCAAAGCACCCTGGCCTGAACACTGTCAGGTCAGTGGCTCCATTGACTGTCTCCTCAGCCCCATATTTTCTCCTTGGTTCCAGCACCTGTTACTGGGCAACTGGCTATGAACCATGGGAACCAGCTTCTCTACTGTGACTACAGACCTCCTTGGCACTTTAAAGGCGACATATAGTAACTTTGCAAATGCATGATAAAATATGTTTTCTTCAACTATTATGACACTTCAGTCCAGTCATAACAAGCAAGCACCTGTCAGCTGCAGTCAGTCACCTGTTGTGGAGCTGGAAATCTTTTTAAGCTTAGATGTCATGATTGTGAAATGAATAATAGGCTAACATTGAAGGTTATGGATATGGAAATGTTTAATAGAGAAGAGACAAGCTTTTCTCTTATCATATGTAAGGTCAACTGACCTACAGTGACTAAGTAGGTCACAACAACAAAATGGTTTCACTGTGAATTCATCTGAACTTTGTGTCAGACTCAAAGCCCTTTCCAGGCAGGCTACCATCACAAAGTTCAGTGAGGACATGCTATGTTCATTAATTTAATCTGCCCCTTTTCTTCGAAATGGAAACAGACCTTTCAGCATGAAGAACTTTTCAGAAAGAACTACATTAACTGTTTTAAGCATCTGAGGACTACATGAGTTCCAATAAGCAAGGAAGTGTCTTATGTAAACACAGAACAAACATACTTCAACATGACTCAAACCAAGGGTGAGCAAGAATGCTGCATATGGGTTGGGTCTTGATTTCAAAACCACTGCATGGTATATACAGTTCAAGCATCAAACAAGACCACATTACTATGTAATAAACTATTTCTTATCCATTAAGAACATAATGTAATTTTAGCACTTAACATTACAGAATATAATAAAGTGCAATAACATTGTTAATGGTATGGTAACAAGTTAGTTTCTCACAATAAACATTGACACTCTTGTTTCAGGGGAATACACATGAACCTACCTTGTTTTGTTATAGAGAGGTAACAACACAAGAACAGTCCGTTAAAATGGAAGGAAGGGTTTGAGGATAGGGTTAAAAAGGGGGGGATACCTGTTATTCTAGCTACTATGGCACACAGTGTGTGGTTTTTTACCCTGACAAAATATAATTAGCCTATACTGTACTTAAATGAATTGGTATCTGGCCAAATAATGTTTTAATGGTGTGTAACTAACGTGTTACTATACCATTACCATGATATTCCTAGTAGTAGCAAAGCCAACAGCAGTTTTTTTTGTCTGTTGTAGGGATGCATTGCTGACAGTTTACACATTTCCCAAGCATGCCAAAATGAGCGGCAGTTTCAGTGTGCGACTATAAGATCAAATAAGGCCAACAGGATTTAGTTCAGCAAGGTTCTGAGTGGCCTGATAACAGCGACAAAACATGACAAGTTGCACAGCTAAAGTTTTTGAACATACATTTAAGTTATGCTTGGACTCAATAGAAATGTCTAAATAATATTTTTGCTAGGACTTGACAGCTTGACTTGAAGCTCGAGCTGTCAATGAGCGCACTTTCACAAGAACCCCCTCATACTTTGCTCAATAAATAATGTATTTAAAGTGAGGCCATATCGCTCACTATGAAACATACTTCCCGTATAATAGTAATATACATATTTATTTAACGTTCTGTTTCTTTCTTCAATGTGAACTCACAGCGCTTCCAGTCTGAGTCATGTTCCAACATATTCATTCTCCTTGCTCGCTCTTCCTTCACTAGACAGCCTGAGAAAAGCCGAAACTCAACTCTCCAAATAGCTAGCTAGTTAGGTTTGAGGAGATTAACTAACCTAACTAAACACAGTCCAAGCTGTACTTGATATTTCACTAAAGACGAACACACTGAACTTAAGTAAAATATTTACCTGGTAAATGTCATGGATATCTCAGTAGAAAAAGTTTTCCAACAGCGTATCTCCACATGAATCCCTTGGCCTTGATGGACCGCGCGAGCTCCTCCCTCTCTCCATGAGGTCATTTAGAACTGGTCGTGTGCGCAACTGCGCATCAACTGCAGTGCACCGTACTGGTAACCAAGCAGACCCCCATGCATAGTGCATGCCTAATGTGCATGCTCTTTTTTAATCAAAGTACAGTAGTGATGCGCATCAAATGACGGGGCAAAACGACAAAGCCCTTTGTTGTTGTTTTTTTGCGCCTAATATTTATCCCATGTAGGCCGACATTACATTTGCGAAAGGTATTTGATGTGGTGTAAAATTATTTGCTGAACGAAGATTACTGGATTAGTGCTTCATTGAGTGATGATTTAATGTGAAGTAAATTACAAGTGCTTTAGGCTTGCTCTTTATACCGATTATAGTCAGGTGTATGGCGACACCGTGAGGCACAAACTGCTAATAACAGAAAGATAGTGGATTGAGATAGTCATTGAAAAAACCTTTCACGTTCTAAAGTACTTTCAATTTTCGGATAGAAGTGACCGGTCTGGTATTTTATTAGGATCCCCATTAGCTGTTGCAAAAACAGCAGCTACTCTTCCTGGTGTCCACACAAAACATGAAACATGACATAATACAGAACATTAATAGACAAGAACAGCTCAAGGACAGAACTACATAAAAAAAATGTTTAAGGCACACGTAACTTACATATCAATACATACACACAAACTATCTAGGTCAATATAATCTATTTTTAAAGTGTAACTTTTAAACAATGTTTTCATGTGGAAGCTAACCTAATCAAAAGTTCCTGATAACCACTCTCAGGTCTAGCAAATGTTCATAAATGCGTGCAAAACAAACCGTTTTCCAAACGTAGATCTTTGGTTGGGTCTTTCGTCCATTTATTAGCAGCAAAGATTTAAAAATATATAACAAATACAGGTAGATGTAATTTCCCGCTCTCCATTGTGCATTCCCACTTCCTGGTCACCCCCATACACGTGACCAGTGACCCATCCTAGTGTACAAAATTAAGTGGAATATACAAGGGACAAACAACCACAGAAGTAGCCTATAAACCAATGGATACTACACCTTATATAAGCATTGGTTTTCATATTGTTTATAACAATATCTTTCCAATAATCATTTTCTTGAGCAGAAATGTGTTTTATTAAAATATAACAGAATATGATTTGTAAGAAAGAAACAGCACATCTTTTGGTTACCTCTCTCAACTCCTCCTCCCCTGTGTGAGGCAGGGTTATTGTTGGACTCAAGTGTTTTCTCAGCAGTACAGCAGATGTCATAGAGGCAATCAACCCTGTCAGATGGCTGGGAAGTCATTGGCAGGGAAATGCACCCAGTCTGTCTGCAGCTCAGCAGACCACCAACCACTCAACTAGAGACTGAGGCCTCAGAATTACATACACAGATGGTGCCGAAGGCTTGAGAGAACAGTGAGCACCACAGAGCTTTAGGTCTACATGGTATCAATTCAATGTTATTAATATTATTTCTGTCCTCCAGTCTCCTTGTTATGCATGCACAGGTAACTAGTCCAAATCCCAGTGGATCAAAAAGCCTCATAGGCTGGAGGAGGCAACAAAGCCAGTGCCTTCTCATATTTTGTCCAACCTCACCATCTGCTGGAATGGAATCTGGCTAAGGCGGTCAGCTGTTGTAAAAACATTTGTTTCCTGCGTTATGCTACTACTGGCTACTGCCATCTTGCAAAATGCCAGGTTAGTATGGCCTAGTACCTCCCAGTGTGCCACAAAAGGATTTTACTGGCACTGACAGCGGTCTTCTTTGCCACAAAGACAGGCAACAAAATATGAAATAAGCTAGGAGCCCGGAAAGTGGACCCCAAATGAAACAGTTTGTGATAAGTGGGGCACTACTCAGGTTAATGTCAGACAAAGAGTCCCCAGATACTCTGTTGGATCTGGAAGAAGTACTCACTCAATTCAGTGCTTGGCTGGGTTCATCCTCACAACAGGGGAACTTTTGTGAGGGCCCTATAAAGAGGGAAGTCTACACATGCAGAGAACTCCCCCCCCCCCCCCCCCCCCCCCAAGAGGCAGAGTTCAAAGACATTCTGCTGTGGGTTAGTTTCTGTGGAAACACCAGGACACTGGCATACTGCTGGCAGAGCTTCACTGAGACATGCCAGGGTACTTTTCACTCTCAGAAATACTGCATAGTACGTAACATAACTAAAGTATATTAATTATGGAAATCGTGTAGATGTACAATATGCATGTGGAAGAGCAGTTCCTGTCAATATAATAGACAAGCGAGACAGAAAATACCTCATAATGGCAGGGGAAATGCACTTTTAAGCTTTACCATAGATGTTTAACACCTATGAAAACCAAGGTCTTTGGGTGCAACGAAAAATCCCATCTCCTTCAAGCTAACAGAAGTTACTTGTCGCCACCCTGTGGTCGTTACAAAATGTGCAGCATTAAAAATCATAACACTTTTAACTGAACTATTCAATAAAATACAATTTACGAATTATGTGAATCTAGAAATACCCATAAACACAAAGGACAAAATGTTTAATGCCATGCAGTGTTTTTATTCAAGCTTTTCACTATGAAAACATTAAATGATGAATGTCAGTCATCCAGCTTTACCCACTTACGCAACATACTAATTCCAAAATGCCCACCATGTGTGCCTTTAGTTCACTTATGGTTACAGGGTGTCTCATTCATACATTAATAAAAAGGCACAGTAAATGCTGGTTTGGAGTAAGCCGAAAACCCACATCCCTACAAAGCTCCACTTCCACACCTAAAAGTAGCAAAGTCCCAAATTGCAACAAATTCAAAGAAGCCGAATTGATTCTACATTAAATCAAGAAAGTTAAACATTTAAGTATTTTCTAATGTTTCATGTCGGTACCCTCATGCATATAACTAACACTTCCTGTTGGTCTTTAACAGTTGACTTAACATGTTTCCCCTCAGGCAACTATCACATGTTGCTTCAGAACTTTTTTGGTTGCTGGATGCAGAAGCTGGACTTGAAAGCTGGCGAGTGTGCCTTCTCCATAGCAGGTCTGAGTCTGCTGTGTTTCACACTTACTGGGGTCTCTGGGAAGTCATGTCCCAACTGAAACAAAGAGGACATTTTATAAAATCATGGTTTACAAAGCAATCTGGAGGAGACTATTTTACTATGCCAATCTATAGAAGCTAAGTGTTGAGACTTGCATGATCATTACAAATGAAGCCACTTTTTTTGTTTACATCAAAACCTGCTTTTTGGCCAACCCTTGTGGGACACTGATGCAGCAATCATTTTAAGTTGGATATCCTTACCTTGTCAAGTGTTCCTGACATCAAGACACTGATTTGCTGCATTCTGCTGGAGGTGGCTGCAGATCTAGAACAGTATTGCATGTTTAACGACACTCAACATTGCAATTAAGGGTTTTCCTGACGCAATGTAAAAAAACAAACATTTGAACACAATCAGATCTCTGTCAATGGCGAGACCCTGTAGATTGGAGTATTGGGTCGTGGTCATTAGGCACCAAATAGAAGAAAAGACTGAAACAGGGAGGGACTACCTGACCTGTACCTGGTTTTGGGAACCTTGTGTTCCCTCTCTGGGTTCACATGGTGGGTGGCATGACTCTCCTCACAGCTCTTCTTGACCACTCGTTTCCCCCCAGCCTTCACTGTGGAGCCAGAGTGGAGCCGTTTAAAATAGGTGATAATAAATTACATACTAATTCTTTGCAAATCCAGCATTTCATGCCATTTGGAAAGTTATATAACTTCCTCGATCCTCGATCAGGAAAGAGTTGAAAAACTTGATCAGGAAAGAGTTAAACTATTCAGAGTTACTGTAAGACAAACAACTTCAGGTTAATGCCTTGGAATTTTGCCATTATACAAGGAGACTTTGGGAGTGTCGGTGTTGGAAGAATAAAGTTGGCAGTGAGAATACAATTCAGCATTGTTGTTTCTTTTTATTTCTCTGACTTGCTATAGGCAGGTTTAATCAAAATAGTCTACTTTACCCACATCCTGTCAAAGCAAAAAGCACTTTGATTTTCTAAAATACAGCCAAACAATGTGCAGTTCAGAAATAGTTGAATTTGTACTGTGCAAAGAATCCCTTTCAGGGGCCGTATGTATCAAGCAGGGCAAAACTGATCCAAAAATCACTCCTACTCAGAGACACCTATGGCCCCACAACTTATTTCTTCATGTCACACCATAACAGTATGCAATGGGCATATCGTAGGCCAGGTTCAAAACCAAAGAAAGGGGGGCATTGCAAACATACCGTTAAATTATCATTTTAATAATAGTTCATTGCAAACATAACGTCAAATTATCATTGTAATAATAGTTGGATTGAGACTATTTGGACTCCAAAAATCACCATACATAAGCAAAAATCTGCAGGGGATATTCACTTAACTATATGAACAGTGTTGGCCTGTCCCTTGAGTGCAGCTTAGAGCACAGAATGTACCATGTTTGCACAATTGGTTATGCACGGATTCAATTTTCATCAAGCATCATAACGAAAAAAAGATCATAGTAGCAGTAATGAGGGCATTTAGAATTACTTTAGTTTTGATTCGTTTACCACCTACGCACTTGAGGTTTGAGCGTGCGTTGCAACATTGTCGCCTACCAATGTTTGTCCAAGATTGTAACAATGTTTGCATGCGACAACAAGATCAGGCCTATATTGTAAATGCACTGAATGTAAACATTACATCGAACAAAGAAAATATGCATAGCTTGATGCCAATTACGAATTAGTACGAATAAATCACTGCCATACCTGCTGGAAGATGGCCAGCCTTCAATTCAGGACTCTCTCTCGCTCCAGATTTTGATAGTTGCACCATTCTCGACTTCTGAACAACAATAGCAGAACACAAAGTAGCACAACGCCCACTTTATACTGCTGAAAGGAAAACGACGTAGTTAATGCAGGAAGCGACCATTAGCAGCATGGGGCTGCAGCAGACTAATTTATTCCACATGAGTGAACCAGAAATATGGCGTGAACAGTTTTAACAAGTTGCATTTTCTATTAATTCAATATATAGATTGGCGCATTTGTGTGGATGGTGCGCATTGAGGATGTTTTTGATCTAATCCTATTTCTTATCTACCAATCTTGTCATTTATACAACATCATTGCCTAGTTCAAAAACAACCTCCAGCCACTCCCCTTTTCTGTTTGCAGATCTGAATAGAGCAGAATAGATGTAAGCAATATGGTGATGGTAGTGTGAACTTTATACATTACCTTCCGACTTTTTAAAGATCTGTACATTCTGAAGGACCAAGAGTACAGGGAGGGGCTAGAGATTGTTTTTGAACAGAACTCATCTCACATTTATCTTAGTCATAAATGCGTGATATTATGTAATCATTTAAAAATATATATTTTGAAAATAAAACTAACTTGATGTCCTGAAAAAAAACACTGCCTCCATTATCAGTTTTTTTGTCACTTCTAACAACTTTCAAAGTGTAAATGGAAAGGTCTATAGTCGGTTTATAAAATAAGACGAAGAAAATGCTGAGTGTCTGGTCATTCTATCATGTTGTTAATGTCCCAAATGGCACCCCATTCTTTATATAGTGCACTACTTTTGACCAGGGCCCATAGGTCTCTGGTCAAAAGGGGACAATTTACTGTAGGTCTCTGGTCAAATGTAGTGCGCTATATTGGGAATAGGGTGACATTTGGGGATTCCTGTCAAAAGTAGTGCACTATGTAGGGAATGGGGTGCATCCGTTGTCTTCTTTTTCTACTGAAATAATTGTATGCAAAGAGAAGAGGATGAGGAAGCGTAGGGGGGAGTTGTAGAGCTCTTCATGGACCAAATGTTCACATTTATTTATGTTGGTTGGTGTGCATAGAAAATGGCAGTGAACTATCCCATGAATGGTCCAGGACAGGGAATGGAAAAGTAAAGAGAAAATCTTTCAAAGTCACGAAAATGTCTGCAATTTCACAATTCATTTAAAAAACAAAAGTGAACTTTTATTATCGTTGCATGTTTGTGTTATGATGCCATCTTTCCCTCCTCCCTTTATTTCTTCATATATTTATAGATCTATAATATAGATTTAACATGGCACACCTCTTTACCAGTGCTGATGAGCGTAAACCAGGTGGCATTTTTTCTGTATTTACAATAAAATGAAGGAAATGTACAAGACTCCATGGCATACACAATCTCAACATTAAGAACAAATACAATTTGATCCCTCTGTACAAACTAACATCTTTAGGTTACTATATATTTTTTTACAGATATGAGTTCATGATCCATTTTTGCCTACAAACATACACATTACCCCTTCTGACTCTTTACCGCAAACCTTTCGTCACATAACCCTCACCATGCTACCACTGCTACAGGTTTCCAAAAGAAAAACTAACGTCTAGACAGAGCAGGACGCCACTCACGATAATGTCCAGTGCCGCCCGCCCTGAACACACCCACTGCTCTTCTTTTAAAAAACAACCCCATTCCTTGGTTTCCTTCTTTCTTTGGCTAACGTTACGTTTCTCCATCTGCCATCGCTTCGTACCCACATTCAGATCCACGTTTTCAAAATAAACACACAAGTAAAAGTTAATGGAAGAGTTCATCGGTTGGGTTCCAAGATGGAGTCCCTATACCCAGGAGTCTGGCGAACCTGGGTACTGTTCCGCCCTGTAGGAAGGCCTCCGCGTGGTGGAGTAAAAGTCCACGTAGTTTGTGGTGGATTTGAGTCCGTGACCGTGCGACTGAGAGCTGTAGTCTGCCGTGGGGGGAAAGCTGACCATTTCCTCCATGTAGGGGTCCTCGTAGCCGTGTGGAGACTGCAGGTACATTCTGTAGGCGTCGTAGTTCCGCCTGCTCGGTTCCTCAGTGTAGTACACCTGCTGCTGTGGAGGCAAGAGAAGCAACACAATCAGATCTGTCTATGTAAAATACAGGAAAATATCTACTTTCAACTGTATGACGGGAGAAAAGGATGAGAAATAGTTGGTTGATTCAAACTTATTACAACTTTGTGTATCAAAACTCAGCTGTATGTCTGTGTGGCTGAACAAAGTTGGTTGTAATCGGTGGTGGCTGGTGGCTCTTTAAAATCGGAGGACGGGCTCCTAGTAATGGCTGGAACGGAATGGAATGGTATCAAACATGGTTTCCATGTGTTTGAAACCATTCCATTAACTCCATCACAGCCATTATTATGAGACATCCTCCCTTCACTAGCCTCCTCTGGGTGTAATATCCTGACTGTCTATTTCCTGTCTAGTCAGAGATAGGTGAAGGGAGGAGAGGAGGGCACAGAGCTCCCTCCCCCGGGTGTTATCCGAGTGAGCACACAGGGACATGTCCACACTGTGACAGGTGCCTGAGACGTACCCACTGCCACCCGGACCATCCCTATCACAGCGGTCACATTCACTCTAGCACACACAATGACTGATGTGTTGGATGTCTCCCAACTCTCTCATTCACCCACACTGTAATATGTGTCAGTCTCCTTGCATTAGTGTAGCGAAGCGAACCAGCCGCCTGCACCGGCCAAGTTGGTAGTGCAGGGAAAGATGGAGAAGGATGGCCAACCAGAAGGGACTGATTTAGAGTCTGTATTGTATTTACCTGTGCTCTTCTAGGGTCCTCTCTTGTTGGCGAGGAGTAGGACCCGATATAATACGGTGACTGCTTTCCAGACCCTGGAAGAGAAATTAACAAGATAATGGTATAACTTAAACTTTGCCATAAACATAAACGTTGTTACCATACAATATTATCCCAGGGAGTGTTGCTGGGTAGCCAGGCAGAGGGTTAGGCAGGGAGGCTGAAGCTTTTTTTTTTTTTTTTTTTTAGTCATTTAGCAGACGCTCTTATCCAGAGCGACTTACATGAGCAATTAGGGTTAAGTGCCTTGCTCAAGGGCACATCGACAGATCTTTCACCTAGTCGGCTCGGGGATTAGAACCAGCAACCTTTCGGTTACTGGCACAACGCTCTTAACCACTAAGCTACCCCGACTCTGTTTACTCTGCCCACTCAGCGCCCCTTTGAGGGCTCTCCATCTGGCAGCGGCTTGTGTGGGTGCCCTGCATACACAGTCTACGTCCCAAATGGCACTATATTTCCTATATTGTGCACTACTTTTGACCAGGGCTCTGGTCAAAAGTAGTGTACTATATAGGGAATAGGGTGCCATTTGGGAAGTAGCCCTACTCTTCCTCAGGGCAACTAACAATTGCCGCTTTGTAGTGGCTGCTGAGCCGAGTTGCTCACAATGCGGGCGGACCAGCCACTATATTGCTCAGCAGACCCACTTAAACGCAACAGAGGCTCAAGTGCTCTTTTGAACTGCCAACTGTCTAAGAGCCTCCAGCTCCCAATAAGGATGATAAGAAACGGAGGTAGGGGTGGATGTAGGGGATAGCTAGCGGAGAGCTAGGAGAGATCTAGGGGAGTGCTAGGGGAGAGGGGGCATGGAATGTGATTCCTGGGAGTGGTGAGATGGATCAAATGGATTACGCGCTACATAGAGGGAGAAAGGGCCTAGGGGCTACTTTGATCACGGTCTGGTGCACATGGCTGATATGTTTTCAATCAAATTCCAACGTCTCAACTGATATGCTGTGTTTTTATGTACAGTTAATATGATTTTTGTATGATAATTCTCTATGCTCATTGTTTACCTGTATATCGGTATTTATGTACATTGTTGTCCCCTTGGTTTTTATAAAATTGCATAGTTGACTGTGCCCTCTGATAATCAGAACGGTGTTCTTTGATTCCCAGCATTGCAGGAGAGGAGGTTGTACTGCCAGCTGTGGAGAACACAACATGGAGGTCAAAACAACCAAACGTTGAATTGAAACGTATTTGTGTCCTTATCTAGGGCTCCGTCCCAAATGGCTCCTTATTTCCTATCTAGTGCACTACTTTCGAACAGAGCCCTATGGGCCCTGGTCAAAAGTAGTGCACTAGGCCCCCTACGGAATAGGGTGCCATTTGGGACGTATCCTAGGTTAATTTTTGTCTATGTAGCTAGGCTGACCTGACTGGTTGACCGGTGACATCTGTATGGTGCTGGTAGGGAGGGTGGGCTGAGACTTGAATCTGTCGCGCTCTAAAGTAGACACGGGCGTGATGAAGTGGTTTTGGTTCCATCCGTCCTGAAGACCAGCCGAGAAAGGAAACAGTGTTAGTATGAGCCACAGAGACCTGGGATGTGTCCCAATAATACTTCCTTTCTCCTGAAGTGTACACTCCTTCACTACATCCCACAAATCTAAAAGCATTGGGCTAGTGGAAGTTTCCACCATATTTCTTATACCAATCATTTCCTTTCAATGAAGGGCAGTGAACAAATGAAATCACATTTTATTGGTTGCATACACATATTTAGCAGATGTTATTGCAGGTGTAGCGAAATGCTTGTGTTCCTAGCTCCAACAGTGCAGTAATATCTAACAAGACAACAATACACACAAATCTAAAAGTAAAAGAATGGAATTGAAGAAATACAGAAATATTAAGACAAGCAATGTCGGAGTCCGGATTATAATTATATATATATTTATTTATATATATATACACACACACACTGCTCAAAAAAATAAAGGGAACACTTAAACAACACAATGTAACTCCAAGTCAATCACACTTCTGTGAAATCAAACTGTCCACTTAGGAAGCAACACTGATTGACAATACATTTCACATGCTGTTGTGCAAATGGAATAGACAACAGGTGGAAATTATAGGCAATTAGCAAGACACCCCCAATAAAGGACTGGTTTTGCAGGTGGTGACCACAGACCACTTCTCAGTTCCTATGCTTCCTGGCTGATGTTTTGGTCACTTTTGAATGCTGGCGGTGCTTTCACTCTAGTGGTAGCATGAGAGAGAATCTACAACCCACACAAGTGGCTCAGGTAGTGCAGCTCATCCAGGATGGCACATCAATGCGAGCTGTGGCAAGAAGGTTTGCTGTGTCTGTCAGCGTAGTGTCCAGAGCATGGAGGCGCTACCAGGAGACAGGCCAGTACATCAGGAGACGTGGAGGAGGCCGTAGGAGGGCAACAACCCAGCAGCAGGACTGCTACCTCCACCTTTGTGCAAGGAGGAGCAGGTGGAGCACTGCCAGAGCCCTGCAAAATGACCTCCAGCAGGCCACAAATGTGCATGTGTCTGCTCAAACGGTCAGAAACAGACTCCATGAGGGTGGTATGAGGGCCCGACGTCCACAGGTGGGGGTTGTGCTTACAGCCCAACACCGTGCAGGACGTTTGGCATTTGCCAGAGAACACCAAGATTGGCAAATTCGCCACTGGCGCCCTGTGCTCTTCACAGATGAAAGCAGGTTCACACCGAGCACGTGACAGACGTGACAGAGTCTGGAGACGCCGTGGAGAACGTTCTGCTGCCTGCAACATCCTCCAGCATGACCGGTTTGGCGGAGGGTCAGTCATGGTGGGGGGTGGCATTTCTTTGGGGGGCCGCACAGCCCTCCATGTGCTCACCAGAGGTAGCCTGACTGCCATTAGGTACCGAGATGAGATCCTCAGACCCCTTGTGAGACCATATGCTGGTGCGGTTGGCCCTGGGTTCCTCCTAATGCAAGACAATGCTAGACCTCATGTGGCTGGAGTGTGTCAGCGGTTCCTGCAAGAGGAAGGCATTGATGCTATGGACTGGCCCGCCCGTTCCCCAGACCTGAATCCAATTGAGCACATCTGGGACATCATGTCTCGCTCCATCCACCAACGTCACGTTGCACCACAGACTGTCCAGGAGTTGGTGGATGCTTTAGTCCAGGTCTGGGAGGAGATCCCTCATGAGACCATCCGCCACCTCATCAGGAGCATGCCCAGGCGTTGTAGGGAGGTCATCCAGGCACGTGGAGGCCACACACACTACTGAGCCTCATTTTGACTTGTTCTAAGGACATTACATCAAAGTTGGATCAGCCTGTAGTGTGGTTTTCCACTTTAATTTTGAGGGTGACTCCAAATCCAGACCTCCATGGGTTGATAAATTTGATTTCCATTGATAATTTTTGTGTGATTTTGTTGTCAGCACATTCAACTATGTAAAGAAAAAAGTATTTAATAAGATTATTTCATTCATTCAGATCTAGGATGTGTTATTTTAGTGTTCCCTTTATTTTTTTGAGCAGTGTATATAAATATACACACACACACTGTATGTGATGGGATGTACAGTCGTGGTCAAAAGTTTTGAGAATGACACAAGTATTGGTCTTCACAAAGTTCGCTGCTTCAGTGTTATGAGATTTTTTTGTCAGATGTTACTATGGTATACTGAAGTATAATTACAAGCATTCCATAAGTGTCAAAGGCTTTTATTGACAATTACATTAAGTTTATGTCAATATTTTTGCAGTGTTGACCCTTCTTTTTCAATACCTCTGCAATCCGCCCTAGCATGCTGTCAATTAACTTCTGGGCCACAGCCTGACTGATGGCAGCCCATTCTTGCATAATCAATGCTTGGAGTTTGTCAGAATTTGTGGGGTTTTTGTTTGTCCACCCGCCTCTTGAGGATCGACCACAAGTTCTCAATGGGATTAAGGTCTGGGGAGTTTCCTGGCCATGGACCCAACATTTCAATGTTTTGTTCCCTGAGCCACTTAGTTATCATTTTTGCCTTATGGCAAGGTGCTCCATCATGCTGGAAAAGGCATTGGTCGTCACCAAACTGTTCTTGGATGGTTGGGAGAAGTTGCTCTTGGAGGATATGTTGGTACCATTCTTTATTCATGGCTGTGATCTTAGGCCAAAATGTGAGTGAGCCCACTCCCTTGGCTGAGAAGCAACCCCAACACATGAATGGTCTCAGGATGCTTTACTGTTGGCATGACACAGGACTGATGGTAGCGCTCACCTTGTCTTCTCCGGACAAGGTGTTTTCCGGATGCCCCAAACAATCGGAAAGGGGATTCATCCGAGAAAATGACTTTACCCCAGTCCTCAGCAGTCCAATCCCTGTACCTTTTGCAGAATATCAGTCTGTCCCTGATGTTTTTCCTGGAGAGAAGTGGCTTCTTTGTTCCCCTTCTTGACACCAGGCCATCCTCCAAAAGTCTTCGCCTCACTGTGCGTGCAGATGCACTCACACCTGCCTGCTGCCATTCCTGAGAAAGCTCTGCACTGGTGGTGCCCCGATCCCGCAGCTGAATCAACTTTAGAAGACGGTCCTGGCGCTTGCTGGACTTTCTTGGGCGCCCTGACGCCTTCTTCACAACAATTAAACCTCTCTCCTTGAAGTTCTTGATGATCCAATAAATGGTTGATTTAGGTGCAATCTTACTAGCAGCAATATCCTTGCCTGTGAAGCCCTTTTTGTGTAATGATGACGGCACATGTTTTCTTGCAGGTAACCATTAACAGAGGAAGAACAATGATTTCAAGCACCACCCTCCTTTTAAAGCTTCCAGTCTGTTATTCTAACTCAGCATGACAGAGTGATCTCCAGCCTTGTCCTCGTCAACACTCTCACCTGTGTTAACAAGAGAATCACTGACATGATGGCAGCTGGTCCTGGTTCCATTATTAAAGTGACCAGTGTTCCATGTCTATGTACATAGGGCAGCATCCTCTAAGGTGCAGGGTTCAGTAACCGAGTGGTAGCTGGCTAGTGACAGTGACTAAGTTCAGGGCAGGGTACTGGTTGGAGGCCGGCTAGTGATGGCTATTTAACTTTGGCGGGAAGGAGAGATAATTGAGACGTAGCTCTACTGTAGTTGGCCTCCTCATCCCAACAGTGGTCATTTTCTTACCTTCTTATAGATAGTTCTCAGGTCTCTGTACTGCCAGAGTGTGTTGAGGACTTGAGCGGCAGCTTTCACCACCTTTGTAGAGTACCTTGTAGGGACAGAGAAACACACGTCACTACACATTACCACTAAGAATTTATGACAGAGGCCTCTTAGGAATCTATGGCAAATACATGGCATATTGCATGTTTCTGTGGTAGAAAAATGTGTCTACTCTCAACTGTCCTTGAGATGCTTAGACCATTCTGAGGTTTAACCTCAGCTCATATGAACCCTAGTGGAAGCACACATTGTCTCTTCTCAGACTCTCAATGTGCATCCCAAATGGCACCCTATTCCGTATACAGTATAATGCACTACTTTTGACCAGACCCTCTGTTCCTTCTATGTTTTTTTCCCCTTCCCATATGGCCCTGATCAAAAGTAGTGCACTATAAAGGGAATCCGGTGCCATTTAGGATGCAATGCAGCCTCTGTCTTAGCAGCAGCTGAAGGCAGCCTTTCCCTCACCTCTCTCCCCTGCCTTAGTGATGTTGAACAGCTTCTCGATGCCGCCTGTGTCAGCCAGTGCCTTGGCGTTCTCCATGTTCTTGCTGGTGACCTCATGCAGGGTGCAGCAGATGGCCGCCACCGTCTCGTCAGAGAGCAGGGTGGTGTCCCCCCCAGGGAGACGGTTCACCAGGTCCCTCATCGCATACTTCCCTGGGGGGGAGGAAGGAGGGAAGGAGGGAGGAAAGGATGAGACGGAAGGAGGTAGAGAAGGCAGAAAGAAGGGAGCAAAGGAAGGAGGGAGGGATAAAGTACTGCTTATGTACTTATAACTTCTGCTATGAATTGACCATCTAGATTATGGCAAGGTTTCTTTATAAGCCCATTCTAGTTGTCATCCTCACCTTTACATACATTATGTTCTATTTGATATTTGTTGCTGCAAATAAATGAACTAGCTACACCTTCAACTAAAACTAGAACGCCACAGAGAGAAACAGACAAACGGAAACAGAGACAATCATTGCATGTGTCTTACGTAATGTATTTGTACGGCATATTCCTTTCTCTAGGGCTCTACTTTTTACATTGTGGATGCTATATTAGTTCAGCTGGAGTTGTACTTCCACAGCCTACCATATGCCTTTCCATAGTGCTAGTGCCCCCAAGGGTCTAGACCTACAGATCCTGGGATCCCCCTGAGTCTCCCTCAGAAGAGAAGTCCCTCCAGAGTACCTTTCCACACAGCCCCTCTCCCCCCAGTACCTCCCCCCTCTCCCCCCAGTACCTCCCCCCTCTCCCCCCAGTACCTCCCCCCAGTACCTCCCCCTCCCCAGGCTACAGGCTCTGCTGCCTCAGCCTTGCTGGAACGCTAACTCCTCATTATGTCCATACAGCTAGCCCATAAAAACCTGTTCCCTGAAAAGGGGTGATTTCACAAAAAACAAGAAGGATTGGGAATGCAATTTAAGTGTGGCGATCTGGGCAGTTAGATTAGTAAGCAAGCGCTCGCAGCTCTTCTGGTTCTACTTAATTTTGAACCTCTAATTTCCCATCATCTCTTCCCTTTTTAATTCTGTAATGCTGTATAGCACATGTAGCCATACCGACTACATTAAACACCTATCCATGTGTTGTGAGATCTGGCAGGCGTCTGCAATGTAGTCAGCCTGGAACGTGGCCTGGGTCGTCCCTTCACAGAGCCTGTGTTGGATCCTCACCTATGAGCTCTTTGTTCCTGACGTCCAGGGCCATGTTCCTCAGGGCCGTGGCCACAGAGCAGACCACCCTGTCGTTGTCCATCCTCAGCAGCTCCACCAGGATGGGCAGACCCTTTTCTTTACGCACCGCTGCACGGATGTACGCCGCAAACTAGTACAAACAGAGAAGACACAGAGATGACGTTTAAACTCTCTTCAATGCAACTCGACCCAAAAGTGTACACTTCAAGTTTCAAGTTTCCAAGAAGGACATTTGTTTTGCAGCAATTAGCATACAGTAAATAGAAGACTTAAAAACGTACATTGACTTCACTTATTCACTTATAAGCGACAATTGACATTAGTTTCACTGGCATGCTTATGGAGGAGAGTTCTACTTTAAATAGGATTGCCTTTACACATCTAAGAAACTATTCCTGTTACACAGGGGAAAAGAAAACTCAATAGAGTAGTGTTCTTGTCATATCCTCTCCTGGGTGCTGTGTGTCTATGTCCCAAATGGCACCCTATTCCCTATATAGTGCACTACTTTTGACTGGCCAGGTCAGAAGTAGTGCACTATATAGGGAATAGGGTGCCATTTGGGATGCAATATGTGTACTATATACCTTCCAGTTCCCAGCAGACAGGTTCTGTAAGGAGCCCGCTGAGCCCTCCAGAGTGGCAGGGTTGGAGCTTTCGGCCAGCATGGTCAGGTAGGGCTTCACCACAGCTGGGTGCCACAACATCTCTGCCCCCTTGGGGGACTTGGAGAAGCCGGGGATGGGGCCCACTCCGTCCCACTTAGAACACATTACAAACACATGATCATGACTAGAGGTTCTAATACAATGTTGACTATATATGATGAACGAGTACAGTGTTGAGATTCACTTTAGCTCAGGGGCTGTTTGTATCAAGCATCTCAGAGTAGGAGTGCTGATCTAGGATCAGTTTAGCCTTTTTTAGATCATAGGAGAGACCTGATCCTAGACCAGTGCTAATAGTTCACTCCAAAATCAAAGTCGGTCAGATGATTCAGTTTCTCAGGAGTGGTCTAATGAGTCCACGTCCCATGACATCTTATGTGTAGAACCAGCGATACAACGCCTCAATCCCAAATGATTTGGAAAGACAGGCAGACACCGTCTGATTCCGTCATGTTAGACAACAGATGCCGTGGAACGTAGACTCATCTTGCTACTAGACTACTGTTGATAAAAAAAACTAAATGTTTGACAAACATTTGGAGTGAACATTCACATTCAAGGCTGGAAGGAAGTGACACGTGTCATTTCCACCACTCAGTGATGAGTTGTTATCCCTTAGCTCACCTGGAGTGAACATTCACTTTGGAGGCCTAGGAAGTGATATTTCCACCACTCAGACGGAAGTTGCGTACGGAATTGCACCCTATTCCCTATATAGTGCACTACTTTTGACCAGAGCCCTATGGGCGCCCTATGGGACCTGGTCAAAAGAAGGTGCACTACATAGTGAATAGGGTGCCGTTTACCTGGTCTTCCTGGGAGCCCTTTTTCTTCTTCTTCTTCTTCCTGCCCCAGCAGCTGGATTCCACGTCCTTACTGGGAGACTCACTGCCCAGCAGACCATCCAGCTCCTGGGCTCCCTGCAGCTTCGATGGGGGCATCTCCAGCTCCAGGCGATACGACAGGTTCCTCAGAGTGCAAATACAGTTCTCTACAATCTAGAGGGAGGAGACGCGGGGGGTCCTGTTAATCATTGAATGTTATTTTATTGATTTTATTGATTTAATATGTTTCTATACGATTGCTTTTGAAATGTGTGCAGTAACAGAGATAAACAGATTGAGAGAGAGAGAGAATAGAGATAGAGAAAGAAAGAGAGACAGAGAAGAGGTTTGTTCCAATGAAATAGTGCTCAATAAGCTAGGCAAGTGTGTGTGTGTGTGTGTGTGTGTGTGTGTGTGAGAGAGAGGGAGAGAGAGTGGAGACATGCAGGCCTGGTGTTATCTGTAGCAGTGTAAATTAATGAGGTATGAGACCCACACTGTAATAACAGTATGAAAAATGTATGCACTCACTCTGGATAAGAGCGTCTGCTAAAATGACAAAAACAAATAATAATAACAGATTAACGTTTCTCCACTTAGAAAGGGAGATCTGGGGTCTGACAAATGGGTTTAATTCCTTACTGTCTGAAGCCCATATAGTGGTATTTGTTCAGTAGATCACCATGGTAATAAATACACAGGATGCATACCAAATGGCACCCTATTGCCTTTATTATAGTGCACTACTTTTGACCAGGACCCATAGGGAATAGGGTGCCATTTGGGACACAAAATCAAAAAGGCCAAATTTATAGCGGAAATAATTAACCAGAACAGCTGGCTAAAGTCTATGAACTTTAATTGCATGCTATTAACAATGGGTTGATAAAAGGCATTCCCAATCAAGTTATGGAGCTGTGCAAGTAGATGTGAGTGAGAAATAATTTAAAACCGGTAGGGTAGGTGTTCTCCTTATCCCCTACAGCTGCCTGCCATTGTGTGACTGTGTGTGTGTGTGTGTGTGTGTGTGTGCGCGCGCGCTTATGCGTCTGTGTGAGTAAGAAAGAGAGAGGGACAGAGTTAGAGAGAGAGTATGTGTGTATGTGTGTGTCTGTATACATCTCTTGCCATGTGTGTGTGTGTGTGTGTGTGTATGCACAGACCTTGCTGTCAAAGTCAGAGGTGTTGACACAGGCCTTGATGACATAGAGTAAAGAGTCCACCAGTCCCTCACAAGAACGCATCTGTTTTCTAGCCTCCTCACCCGCTGAGCTCAGGTTCCTTAAAAACAACACACACTGTTCAGGACTTCTGTAAACAGACATATGCCCCTACAGCACACACAAACACTCAAATAAATCACACACAAAGACAGGCCCAGCAACGAACACAAACAGCCACATAAAATAAGAAAGCTTCGTCCCAAACGGCACCCCTATTCCCCATTTAGTACACTGCTTTTAACAAGGCCCCAAAGGCCTTTGGTCAAACATAGTGCACTATAAAGGGAATAGGGTACCATTTGGGATGCAACCAAACTGTGTCTGTGTTTGTTCCCTTAGCGCGACGCTGGTTTGTGTTGTGGGGTTTACTTGCTCCGTACCATCCATAATGGACGAGGCTCTCTGGTTGGCCTGAGCGATGCCATTATGAGTACTTTTGTGGGGGAAACGAGAGCCTAACTGAGCGCGCTCACAGACACTGTCACCAATTAGAGACCAAACTTCTGGCAGCTTCCCAAATAGCAACCTACTCCCTATTTAGTACACTACTTTTGACCAGAGCCCATAAGGGAGCCATTTGGGATGCACCCATTGCCTTCAAACGAGGGCCCTGGCAGGGTGGCTGGAGAGCGAGAATACCCTTTTCTACGGCTGGGTCGCACAGTGATTATACTGACTGGGCAACTATAACATAACACCCATCTACTCCTTGTATTATGGGTGGGTAGAATAGTGGGTTTCAAGGGCCACTTTATTGAATCTGTAAGTACATACAGACTTATAATTCTGTGTATTTTGTTTGTATATTTTCTTTAACATACTAAATAGTCATAGATGACCTGTTTACAATGCATTATTTGTAAGCTCCCACAGTCAGGTTTGTCTCATTCACTAATCATGTGTTTGTAATATTATTTACGGACTAGCTCGAAGGCTATGTTCAAATGAACCAGGCTGCAGTAGCTTGAAACATCCAGAAGGGGGTGGTAGCATCACACTCAAAATGTCCATTACCTGAGACAGCCACTTGTGTTCCTCAAGACCAGAGACGAGTGGAATTTGAGCTTGTGGTCATCGTCAAACGTCGAGCTGCTCCATCCAGAATGGGGTATGATCACAGTGTTTGTCAGAGTAGTTAAGGCATCCCGAATGATTGTCATCTTGACAGAATCACAGGAGGACAGGTTCCACAGCACCCCTGCAGAGAAGCGGGAGGGACATGTTAGAGAGAGAGACGGGCCCACAAACCCCTGGTTGTCAGCTGTCATGTGCAGTTAGGCTAGCCTTCTAGAGTTGCCGAAATCCAGGGCTTTTCATAGCTCAGTACCATACAGAGAGAAGAGAGGATCAGAGGAAAAAGAATAGCCCTCATAACAAATGAAAACCATACTTCAGCAGAGCAGAGACACATCGGGCATCTGCATTAAATAGGATCTTAAAAGCTTTAGATATCCTCAAGGCAAGTGAGGAAGACTTTTGACTTGAGATGAACACAAAACACCATAAGGTACTGGCTCAACGTATCATCTGAATAATGTAACGTCTCCCGATATCCTGTAATCATTTTATTAGTTTCAAATGCACCAGTAATATTCCTAGTATAGTGTGTGATGAGGGGCCCTTTGATGCTGCATCTGCTCCAGAATAACCAGCGTGGAGCACGTTCTTTTAATTAGATGGCTGTTACTGGAAGCAGAAAATATAGGCTGATTTCTACAGGGCGGCACTATCCTTGGACAGGGCTGCAGCTCAGCTCCTGTCTAACCACAGAGAGAGAGAGAGACACATAGAATGTGTCCCAAATTGAATGTAGCGCACAATTTTAACCAGAGCCCAATGGCACTGTATTCCCTATGTAGTGCACTACTGCTGACCAGATCCCTATGGGAACCCTATGGGCCCTGGTCAAAAGCAGTGCACTATACAGGGAATAGGGTGCCATTTGGGATGCATCCATAGTTACTACCTCTAAGACTGCAGGCACAGCAGAGGAGATCTAGCTACACCCCGCTGACTGGCTGATCTCTTTGGATGTGTGTGAGGGTAGGAAAGCATGGGATGGGAGTGATGCCTGGTGTGTGTGTGTGTGTGTGTGTGTGTGTGTGTAATCCTCATAGTTTCCTTGAGCTCTCCTCTATCCACCACAGTGTGTAGCCACTGTTTGGTTTTCTCTTCTCTCCAATTAAACCAATGGAGATGATCACACCCATTACAAAAGCCCAAGGGCACATCATTAAGAGGATGCCAGCAAGTCATAACACAGCCAGGGATGTGGTCCAAAGAGTGTCTGTTCCATCCCTATCTGTTGAGTTACCCTGTTTAATAAAGGTCCATTCACACTTTTATGAAATAACGTTAATAATAACGTCATGCCAGTTACGATAATGGGGGACCAAAATTGTCCGATTTCACATCTTAATTTCAATAAGAATAGAAAGACAAATTCTCAGCTTAGCCCAAGCAACCCATGAAAGTGTCTCTACACGGTTAACATTCACCCGATGAAGCCTCTTATCTGCTCCTGCCAGTGCCGTGTGGGGCTGCATACCGAAGCTGTAACATCACCTCAGCTATAACGTGTATTCTCAGGCCCTGGGATTCATTTCAAATGGAATCCCTCTGTAGTGATTGAGCACCGTTCTCTACTAGCTTAGCCTTTAGCCTTTTTGCCTTGGCTTTCTCTGATGGTGAACTCCCTTAGAGACTCCCTCAGGATGAGAGCCTCGTAATGAAGTGATAACGCACGTACGTGCACACACACGCGCACGCGGCTGGATAAAGTACTCAGGCAGACTGAAATGACCCAGGTCTGTCTCTCTAGCCATCAACCCCCCAGTTCCTCCTCATCACCCCTAAAGCTCTATTTGGAGAAACGGCTAACAGCCAGCCTTTAAACTGGCCCTGTGCTGCAGTCTTTTTAAACTTGGGATAAATCTGCGTGAGGTGTGACTGACAGTTGTCTCTATAAAGACCCAACGATACCCATGTGTCATATTTGACAGTCAGATGGAACTGCCTATGTGAATTGTGCGCGGAGGCTTGATCTCTCAGTGTGATCTGGGCTCAGTCCTATATACTGTATGTATATCAGTGGAGGCTGCTGAGGGGAGGACGGCTCATAATTATGGCTGTAACAGAGCAAATGGAATAGCATCAAACACATGGAAACCATGTGTTTTGATGTATTTGATACCATTCCACTCCAGCCATTACCATGAGGGCGTCCTCCCCAATTAAAATGCCACTAACATCCTGTGATGTACAGTACCAGTCAAAAGTTTGGACACCTACTCATTCAAGGGTTTTTCTTCATTTTTACTATTTTCTACATTGTAGAAAAATAGTGAAGACATCAAAACTATGAAATAACACATATGGAATCATGTAGTAACAAAAAAAGTGTTAAACAAATCAAAATATATTTTATATTTGAGATTCTTCAAATAGCCACCCTTTGCCTTGATGACAGCTTTGCACACACTTGGCATTCTCTCAACCAGCTTCACCTGGAATGCTTTTCCAACAGTCTTGAAGGAGTTCCCACATATGCTGAGCACTTGTTGGCTGCTTTTCCTTTACTCTGCCATCCGACTCTCAATTCGTTTGAGGTCGGGGGATTGTGGAGGCCAGGTCATCTGATGCAGCACTCCATCACTCTCCTTCTTGGTAAAATAGCCCTTACACAGCCTGGAGGTGTGTTGAGTCATTGTCCTGTTGAAAAACAAATGATAGTCCTACTAAGCCCAAACCAGATGGGATGGCGTATCGCTGCAGAATGCTATGGTAGCCATGCTGGTTAAGTGTGCCTTGAATTCTAAATAAATCACAGACCGTGTCACCAGCAAAGCACCCCCACACCATAACACCTCCTCCTCCATACTTTACGGTGGGAACTACACATGCGGAGATCATCCGTTCACCCACACCGTGTCTCACAAAGACACGGCGGTTGGAACGAAAAATCTCCAATTTGGACTCCAGACCAAAGGACAGATTTCCAACAGTCTAATGTCCATTGCTCGTATTTCTTGGCCCAAGCAGGTCTCTTCTTATTATTGGTGTCCTTCAGTAGTGGTTTCTATGCAGCAATTTGACCATGAAGGCCTGATTCACGCAGTCTCCTCTGAACAGTTGATGTTGAGATGTGTCTGTTACTCAAACTCTGTGAAGCATTTATTTGGGCTGCAATTCCTGAAGCTGGTAACTCTAATGAACTTATCCTCTGCAGCAGAGGTAACTCTGGGTCTTCCTTTCCTGTGGCGGTCCTCATGAGAGCCAGTTTCATCATAGCACTTGATGGTTTTTGCGACTGCACTTGAAGAAACTTTCAAAGTTCTTGAAATGTTACAGATTGACTGACCTTCATGTCTTAAAGTAATGATGGACTGTCATTTCTCTTTGCTTATTTTAGCTGTTCTTGCCATAATATGGACTTGGTCTTTTACCAAATAGGGCTATCTTCTGTATACCCCCCCTACCTTGTCACAACACAACTGATTGGCTCAAACACATTAAGGAAAGAAATTCCACAAATTAACTTTTAACAAGGCACACCTGTTAATTGAAATGCATTCCAGGTGACTACCTCATGAAGCTGATTGAGAGAATGCCAAGAGTGTGCAAAGCTGTCATCAAGGCAACGGGTGGCTATTTCTATTTGTTTAACACTTTTTTGGTTACTACATGATTCCACATGTGTTATTTCATAGTTTTGATGTCTTCACTATTATTCTACAATGTAAAAAATAGTAAAAAATAAAGAAAAACCCTTGAATGAGTAGGTGTGTCCAAACTTTTGACTAGTAGTGTATACGTTAGCCAGGCACGGGAACACTAGCCCAATGTATACTAACGCCCGAGTTGGAGAGGCAATACGCTGTGATACGCTGTGACACAGGAGCCAATCATCTGCCTTTGGATCAATCCTCGAAAGTCATTTGACTGTGGCCTAGATTTATAAAGTTAGGGAGTGTGTGTGTGAGAAAGAAAGAGAGAGAAAGAGCGTGTATGTGCACTTGTTTGTGTGTGAGAGAGCGATTGGGGAGGGTAGAGTGTGTCTCTCATAGCTTGGGAAGCAGTGATCCGACTAAAGGGCTCCATTCCGCCCCATAATGAAATCTCCACTGAGCTTGTTATTCAGTTACTGTCTGCAGAAATGAGGTGCTGAAGCCAGGTAGGCCATTACAGTACCCTGGGTTTGAGCTGGCATGGCTCAGATGTTTAGTCCCTTCTGACTGGCCAGAGTAAGGGGGTGGTGGGTGTGGTCGATATTAACAGGCTCTGATTGGGTGGATTAATGTGCGTAGATCAGGCATTAGTTGGCTCTGAGAGTGAGAGATTTAGAGTGGCATGTGTTTGCATGCTATGGAGCTGGTATGAGCATGCAGATCCATTGCAATACTAGACCAAGCATTATCAATAATCAGATTAAGCGGGGGAGGGGCTGGATAGTGGTTGCTAAGAGGCTGGGGGCCATATGTTGATCTGGCCTGCATCCCAAATGCCACCCTATTCTCCCTATAGAGCGTACTACTTTTGAACATGGCCCATAGTGAATAGGGTGCCATTTGGTACAGTCTTGTTTCTGGTCAAAGCCCACGGCTTGCTCTAACAATTTCTGACACAATAAAAAAATCAAGACTAGCTTTGATACGGTTATTCTCCTACGCCAATGGGGGCAGAGCAGAGAGGTGTGTCGACTAGTGGTTAGTACTATGAGTTTAGCTGTCCCCCAGTCTGTAGGGTGTGGCTGACTACTACAGAATAACTGTGTGCCTGAAGTCTCAGCGTATTTGTACAGTGGCTGCAGGGTGAGCTAGATGACAATCTGTGCCCTACATCTGATGAAATAGAAGCTTTGCAGCAGCTCCAGTGTGCCTTCCTTGATGAGCTCTGTTCAATTTCAAAAGGAACACGGACCAGAGATTAGCACAGTGGGGCTGTTTTCCCGACAGCACGCTGGAAATACACACAACACAAGGTTAGGCTTGTAGCTGCTTGTCTCCTGAACTCCTACACGTAGGCACTTGTATTCAAGGGAAGCCACACCAACATAGAAACGCAGGAGCACAGATTCCACACATGTGATGTACTGTAATGTACTGTCATTTTGTTCCGTCCCAGGTTGTGTGTTTGTGTGTGTATTTGCGACAGCAATGATAAGAGTGGGGTCACATACGGACAGACAGTGTGTTCTAGGACAGGGCCCCTGTGTACTGTGTGTGTATGTGTACAGAGGCTGTAATGACACTGTTCAGGGCCATGCTGGTCCCTCCGTAGGGGCCAGGTGACACCTGTACTGCCACTGGGGTGCCGACAACCAGGGGAGGCCTGTCCCTTTGATCTCAGAGGCCTATTGAGGACAAGCCAATAACCACAACAGCTGCTATGGGAATCAGGGACCAGGGCTAGATTGCTGTCCCCACAAAATGACCCCCCTGACCTGGGTAGAAAAGAGAAGAGAGGGGGGCTCCTCCTGCTACCGTAGTGGCTCATATGGAGCACGGCTGATGATCCCGCTGGAATAAAGGACCACTGACATACAGGGGAGTGGAACAAACATCTCCTATCAGTAAAGCTCAGAGGTGGGCACGCTGAGTGCTCTTAAAAAATGGCTCTTAAAAAAACAAGGTTCAATTACACCGCCATCAGGGTTTTCAAGGGTAGAAATATGTCAGAGGGGTGTTGGTGAGAAAATGCATCCCAAATGGCATCCATATGGCTCTGGTCCAAATTAGTGCACTAAATAGGGAACCATTTGGGACGCATCCTAAGTCTTGTCAGTTCCAATTAGCCCATTGGCTTTGGCCAGCAGGAAGTGCGGCAGAAAGCTCCTCACGTAGATTGTTCTGATTGGCTGTGATTTCCAGAGGTGACGCTGTGATCGCCGACATTCTTTAATTGCATAGTATTCTGGGTCCCCAACTGCCAATTAGCTGGGGTTTTTTTTTTTTTAAATACACACAGTCGTAAGAAGTACTCACTACACGTCAAAGCAATTTGGTCCAAGATTTGTATGACACACATCTGCATTGAACTGGCCTCCCGTTTGAATGACAATGGATTAGACTGGCTAGAAGTGACTGAAATGCCAGTGGTTCCATCCCCCATACTCCATTCTGTTATAGACTGCATGTGGTTCTGATTCGTTAGTTCCTTAATTCACCACATCAGTAAAGATGTGTATAACTAACCCAAGATAGACCACATCCTGTCATTTCCAATGGGAGCAAATTAAATCAGTGGGCAGAACAAGCAAGGAGGTGGGCAGAGCCAAGCACGAGCTAGCGAGATCCTATTGGCGCGTTCTAGCATGTATTTACATATTTCCGTTAGGGACCGCATACTCTGTGGTGGGCGTGTGCAATAACTCAACTCGCCCTTGAACTCCTTCTAAACAATGCAATATTTAGAAACTTTGGCATAGGGTAAAGTTGACAAAAAACTTAGTCCACTCTGTTCGTAACAGATTCTAGTTTTGGGAACCGAAAACTGTATTGAGATCAGATGTTTCATCGATGAAAACATTTGCAGAATGTCGGCCAAAATCCATCTCACTCCATCTTCTCCCACTCCATATTTGGTGGTGAGTGGGAATGCCAACCGGATGCTTCAGATTTATACATTCGGTGAAACATCTGGCTCATTGTTCTATCTGTGTTATCAATGCTTAGGAGACCCCAAGAACAACTGGCTCTTCCTCGTTCTTTGGAGTTCACCATGCTTGGAGAAAAACCAAACAAACACCAACTTCATGGACACGAGACTCAAGTCATATCTCCACTTCACTTCCGCAATGTTTTACTACAGAAAGGAGTAATTGGATGCTGCACTGTGCTTGTGCTCTCTGTGTATTGATAGCCTGGTGGAACCATTACACTGTAACCTGAACTAGAGTCAGAGCTAGTCAGAGTAGAACAGCTGATTCAGCCACCTGAGAGCCAAACATCTTGGCTTGTTTATTTCCAGTGGTGGAAAAAGTACCCTTACATAAAAGTAAAGATACCTTAATAGAAAATGACTAAAGTAAAAGTCACCCAGTAAAGTACTACTTGAGTAAAAGTCTAAAAGTATTTGGTTTTAAATATCCTTAAGCATCAAAAGGAATGAAATTGCTAAAATATACTTAAGTTTCAAAAGTAAAAGTATAAATCACTTAAAATTCCTTATATTAAGCAAACCAGACAGCGCCATTTTCTTGTTTTTAAATTCATAGATAGCCTGTGGCACACTCCAACACTCAAGACAACATTTAGAAACAAAGGATTTGTGTTTAGTGAATCTGCCAGATCAGAGGTAGTAGGGATGACTAGGGATGTTCTCTTGATAAGTGCGTGAATTGGACCATTTTCCTGTCCTGCTAAGCATTCTAAATGTAACAAGCACTTTTGGGTGTCAGGGAAAATGTATGTGGTAAAAAGTACATTATTTTCTTTAGGAATGTAGTAAAGTAAAAGTAGTCAAAAATATACATAATAAAGTACAGATACCGCAAAAACAACTTTAGTAGTACTTTAAAGTATTTTTACTTAAGTACTTTACACCACTGCATATTTCTTTAATACCTGATCCTACACAACTTGGTTTTATACCCTGTTTGCAGAGCTCAAGCCACACGGGGAAAACTGTGTGTGCATTGGGAAACACGAGTGTTCGCTCAAACGTCAAGGACTGTTGTGTTTACACAACTAGGAGCGACGGAATCTCTGCTCTCACCAAGGGTTATGTTCAGAACGCATATAAAAAAACAATACATTTTTAAACGGAGAACGGAAATTTGTGTTCTTATTGGATCGTTCAGGTAGTACCGTCAAAACATTATCTCTCATTTTGTGTCTACTAAACATGAACCAGGGGAGGGTAGCAAGGAACTCCAATCCCCTGAGTTGAATGACAGATACTAGGGGAGAACTGGTCAGGACCAGACCAGAATACCCATTATGTACTTCCAAAATGGCACCCTATTCCCCATGGGTCCTGGTCAAAAGTAGTACACCATATAGGGAATAGGGTGTCATTTGGGACACATCCAGTGACTAATGCCAAATTACTGAAGAAGCGGACTGGCAGGCAGGCAGGCGAGAAGGTTAATAATTGAACAGCTCTACTTTAGGTTGTGTAGTAATGTTCCTGTCCCACAAAAACCCTGTAGTGGAACTCCAGTGGATCTGATTTGGGCAAACGTCACTGAATAATGGATGAGTGAAATAATGTGGAACTGTGGAAATGTGACCATTGTGAATACGCCAGAGGGCAGAGAGAGAGAGAGAGAGAGAGAGAGAGAGAGAGAGAGAAAATAGCACACAGAGCTGTGGTGTGGAAAGGCACGGTCCGTGGAGTTTCGAGGTTAAAAAGGCCATTTTAAATAAACGCTGCTTTCTTACCCAGAAAAGCAGAAAAAAACACAAGACATATGCAGGCAGACACGCGCAGAGTGAATTCATCAACGCACGCACACACACTCTGAGTGAATTCACCACGCGGATGCAAGCGCATACACACACTCTCTCACTGTCTCTCTTACCCGTGACCAGCTCTCTCACTTCAGCGTCTACAGTCTTCCTCAGCAGTCTGAGCAGAGCAGGGACGCCACCTGCGTTTCTCACGGCGACCTTGTTGTCGTCCGTAGCTTTCCCGTAGACCAGGTTCCTCAGAGCTCCACACGCATTCCTCTGGACCTCCAGGGTTTTGTGGTCTAATAGATCCACCAGGTGTTTGATGCCCCCTAGACGGCACACCTAGAGGGTACGGAGAGTCATCATGAAGGCCTTGAGCATAACTCATTGGTTTGTACAGTAAAATACCACCAGAATGAAAAATAGTGAGGACAACAGTAATGTAGGATCAATATCACAAATATCTTATAAGGAACTGAAAATGGATTAAACATGAACGTGTAGTGACTAATGCATTGTAGTCTAATAGCAATTAGTTATGACCAGGGCCTTCATGATGACTCTGACAACATAAATCTAGGCTTTGTATTTATTCATGTAAGGGATGCTGAGAATATATACCAATGGCTTTCTTTAAACCAGATGAAAGACATATAGAAAATGTAATGCATATCTTCAGTGATCGCATAAACTGAGTATCCCTAACATTAGGAACACCTTCCTAATATTGAGTTGCACCCCCTTTTGTTCTCAGAACAGCCTCAATTTGTTGGGGCATGGACAGGGTGTCGAAAGCACTCCACAGGGATGCTGGCCCATGTTGACGCCAATGTTTCCCACAGTTGTGTCAAGTTGGCTGGATGTCCTTTAGGTGGTGGACCATTCTTGATACCCATGGGAAACTGTTGAGTGTGAAAAACCCAGCAACGTTGCAGTTCTTGACACAAACTGGTGCACCTGGCACCTACTACCTTACCCCGTTCAAAGGCACTTACATTTTTTTGTCTTGCCCATTCACCCTCTGAATGGCACACAATCCACGTCTCAATTGTCTCAAGGCTTAAAAGTCCTTCTTTAACCGGTCTCCTCCCCTTCAGCTACACTGATTGAAGTGGATTTAACAAGTGACATCAATAAGGGATCATAGCTTTCACCTGGTCAGTCTATGTCATGGAAAGAGCAGGTTTTCTTAATGCTTTGTATGCTCAGTGTAGGGTGAATATAAGGTCTAAACTCAAGTAAAGTAAAGAGTTGAAGCAAATAATTGCATTTGTATGCCACTTTCAAGGACAGTTCCATCATATGAAATCCCTCACTGAGTCTGCAAGTGTATGAATAGATTTTAAAAAAATATATATATATATAGTAACAAGAAATGTAAAAAAATTTAAAAAGCACAGAGCGGACAGTTCCCTCATCAAAACCTAGAAAAGACTCAATGTTCTTTCCTTGACAATGACATGCTTGAAATGTGTGTCTTCATATGTATGAGTGTGTTCAAGAGGCAACACCTCCCTAACTGCAGCAGCAGCACATGCAGTCAGGAGCAGAGAAGAGGAGAAAATGAGTCTTAAAAAAAAAAAAAACGATTATAATGTTGACCGTGGTCATTTGGCTGTATAATAACCGTCATCCAAAATTCCATGACCGTCACAGCCCTTCTGATCTTAAGAGATCAGCTTTTCCAGCCGACGACTCCAGCGGCAGTAACAGCACCCTGTGGAGCTGTGAAATTCCAGAGGGAGCTGGAGTGGATTGGAGTGGCCAGCCCAACCCACCCCAGCCCAGCCAGAGGCCCAGCCAGGCCTCTGCAGCAGCACAGTCCTCACAGCCTGGGTGAATCTCAATTGCATTTCCTTGATTCCTCATGTCCTCTCTCGTTGCCTCCTTCTCAAAACGCATTGTAGGAGAATATCTGAGGTTCCTCCCATGTGATCTTCTCCTCCAATGCGTTATGAGAAGGAGATGAGAAAGGAGGACGTTAGCCCTTTATTTTTTATAAATGTGCAAACATTTCTAAAAACCTGTTGTCGCTTTGTCATTATGGGGTATTGTGTGTAGATTGAGGAGGGGAAAAAATTATTTTATCCATTTTAGAATAAGGATGTAACGTAACAAAATGGGGAAAAAGGGAAGGGGTCTGAATCCTTTCCGAATGCACTGTATTTATTTCTTAACTTTCCTAATATTAAGCACATTGCTTCGCTTTACAACAGGAGTATAGCCTATGCTGCTGGCATGAAAATAAACCATGAGAAAAGCGTCCTCCATTTGCTATTTAAGTGCATAGATTACATGTATTTTTTGTGGGTATGTTTTGTGTGTGTATTTTACCCCCTTTTTCTCCCCAATTTCGTGATATCCAACTGCAATCCAATTACGATCTTGTCTCATCGCTGCAACTCCCCAACGGGCTCGGGAAACATGACCTGCCAAACCGCGCTTCTTAACACCCGCCCGCTTAACCCGGAAGTCAGCTGCACCAATGTGTCTGAGGAAACACCGCCCAACTGATGACCGAAGTCAGCCTGCAAGCGCCCGGCCCGACACAAGGAGTCGCTAGAGTGCAATGAGCCAAAGCCTCCCATAACCCGGACGACGCTGGGCCAATTGTGCACCGCCCTATGGGACTCCCGGTCACGGCCGGTTGTGACACAGCTTGGGATCGAACACGGAGGCCTGACATGTATTTTTTTCCCTGCCCCTGTTCTGAGACAGGTGCAGGATAATGGTCTATTCTAAATCTAAACTCATTTCACACATACAGTATATTATTTAGTATTTGTAAAAACAAGATTAAATTAAGAATAGTCTGATGGGTGACAATATTATAACTTGTGAATGATGCCCAGCATGCGCAGTAAGGCAAGAAACAGCACATTCCTTTTTTTTGCAACTTTTTCAAATCATTGTCACACACCTCATGTAGCCCATAGGACTATATGTTTTGATAAGGTTTGTGTCACAACTAAAGTGGCCAAATAACTTCTTAAAAGTAAGCACATTAATCCTGGCATATTAGGCGGCGCGTGAGTTTCAATTTTGGGGAAGATAATTTTCACCATAAAAATGCACCTTTATCATAAATCTTTACATGCATAAATAACATTTGCGGTCACTTTTGAGAACAGTATTTTCCCGCTAATTGATTGCATTTTGGAACATTCGCACGTATAGCCTACTGCTGTGTGCGCATTGCTGAGCTTATAATGTGAAGAAATGTAAAGCTACAGTAAATGTTCTGATCTGTTGCATCAGCCTCATTGCTTTTAAAAGGTTTTTTGATGCGAGTGGTTGTATTAACTTGGGATCTAACGCATCCCACAACTGTCCCAGAGTATGTTTGGAATATTTATTTATCGCACAGAAGGACAAGTGGACCAATAGAATAGGTTAACATTTGTACTATGGGGGATAGGAAATTGACATAGTCTAGTGCTTTTGCTGTTCGTTAGGCCTACTCATCTTGTTGGCTGACGAAAAGTACATGTGGACGGTTCTTCTAACATCTTCAATATGCGCCTCGGAATTTGATAAGGATGCGCGCAGTTGTCTCCCCGATGTGTCGGTCTTCACTTGTAGCCTACTTCGGAGCTAAGATGCCTGTGAGGGGCATTGGCTAATAAGAATTGAGATATCTGAAAGAGCCATGTGAGTGAGAGGTACTTTGGAGCACAGCGATTGGCAGCCGGGAGAAGGGAATTATAATTATTATATTCCCAAGGACACAACGGCCACTTTGGTCGCAAGGCATGGAATTTTTTAGGGGGCATTACGTCCAAACAAGGGGGATGCCGCCGGGAAATTCGATGCCTGGTGAGAATATTATCAAGTGCTTGTCTAATTATGAATGAGAGACTGATGAAGCGTGTGCAGCCTGCACAAGAAACAAAAGCAGAGCTCATGCCTTTCATGCGACTTCGCATCATGCAGCCTTAGAATGTATAAAAAAATCAAAGCCCAACGTTTGTATCACAACTAAAGTTGAATAAATAAGCATATAGGAGGACCTGTTTCTTTGTTAACCGCTCAACACAGAATAGCCGCTATATTCTTCATGCTATAAAAGAATATAAAATAATGCCAAGGAATTCTAAGAAAATCTTGTCTGCTAAATGAACTAGTGTAGCCCACAGCCCTATGGCATAGCCAGATCAGGGCCTAACATAAGGACAACTCAGTGTATGCTATTCAGTTCTTCTGAAATAGACTACATTTTCTTCACATCATGTTTCTTTAGACCGGTCTAAAAGAAATAATGGATTTATTGTGATGGTGTAGGCTATATTATATGGATTCATTAGACTTTTTAAAATGCAGATTTTCCAAAGGTCTGCATCAGTGGCTTGTAGGCTAAGCGTGGAAGCCAGGAGATGCTAAACATATTTATGTTAATTACGGGTCATTTACCATGAGACTGACAAAATGCCATGACTGCCACAACCCTATTCACCCCCCCCCCCCCCCCGATGGGGGGCACTTCAGTGAGTTGCATGCTGGGGACTGATGAAGGATCTGGGGTGCAGGGGTGCAGGGGAGCGATGCATACGTACCTCAGCCTTGACTGTATTATCTCCGAAGCACAGGTGCTGCAGGTATGCGGCGGCGTTGGCCTGCACCGAGGGGAACTGGTGCTGCAGCATATTAATGACCTCAGGCAGCTCAGGGTCACGCCAGGCAAACTCCCTGGAACACAGACACAGAGAGATATCAGACATACACCCAGGAACAGACACAAATCAGTATGACGTCAGCACACAACAACTATCCACCCCTATCCACAGGGCTGGGGCACACCGCAATAAGTTTAAAGCCCAGGAAATTACATTGACATCGGCATCTATAACACTCCAGGATTATTGCTTTTCTCCCAATATAAAAGGATGATATTTCACTTCAGTTTCATTTGTAAGACTAGAAGGTATGTCTTGGCTTTTGGAGAGTCACTGCTATGAGCTTCTCCTGATTCATAAAGCTTAATTTAATCAGTCTAAATGAAGTCTACTAGAATTTAACTTTTCTACTAGAATTCACAACCCTTATGACAAGAGAAATGCGTAGATATTACCAAGTCTGCGTCTATTTCAGAACTTGTATTTATCTTTGACTGCCAAAAGTCTTCTGACTAGCAGAGTAAACAAAATAAGTTGAAATGAGAAAGTAGCAACATGAGATGCACGTCCACATTGTGACAGAATTGGCTGTATTGATGTGTCGGCTGTAATACTCCTGCCCTTGCCTCAGCATGTGTTACATGAAGCAAGACGCCAGTCCAATCAAATCAAAATACAATGTTCATCTAATTTACCCCGGGGGGACACAAACAGCCGTTACCAACACCACTGCTAAATTTAATCTGGTTGGGAGTAGGAACCCAGTTGATGCAACATGTTTTTCTAAGTACAGGTGCTTTTAGGCCTGCCTCTGGATGTGACCCATATGGCACCCTATTCCCTTTATAGTGCACTACTTTGACCAGGACCCATAGCCACTATATAGGGAAGAGTGGGGCATTTTGGAGGCACCCTGGGTCTGAGCATGGTCTGCTGTGTAGCGCAGGCAGGGAAGGAGGTCCGCTGTCACCCTCTCACTGCTCTCAGCTAGAGCAGGACTCAGGGGTGTGAACAGCACTCCTAATGTGCAAGGTCAGGGGTTTAGCGCTCCGTGTCCAAAAACCCGGCCGTGCTTACATAGTACACATGTCTCTGTAGCAAGAGCAGACACAGCAGTTCACTGAAATCTGGGGATCCATTGTAGAGTGGTCTGTGTAGCCATGTACAGATGTAGGATCTTAATTTGATCACTCTTGTTGCTGGGAATTGTGCAGGAAATGCAAACTTGTAGTGTGTTCAAGGTTTAAAAAGGCTTCTAAAGTTTGTAATTTCCACTTAAAAATGTGACTTGTTTTACCGAAACAAAAAATGTATCACCTCCTACACAAAATGTCCATTAATTATAATCCACATAATAATTCACATTTCCTGTTGCTGCAGGATTATTTTCCTGCTGTAGCAAACTAGCTCAAATTAACATCCTACATCTGTATCTTAATGGCTAAGGCTCTGGATGGCTGCCCAGGGGGATTTATGTGTGAATAGTAACACTAGTGTTGACCCAGCAGTATATACAGTAGTAGCCCCGTAAGCACTGTTAGACCCACTGTTAGACCCACTGGATGATAAGGTAGGGATGAATCAGTCATAACCAAACGAAAGCAACCAGTTTGAAACAGGGAGGGATCTGTCTGAATTTGTCCAATAAGAAACGGTTGTTTTCGTTTTACGTTGTAAAGTTTTGCTAAGGTGTGAACTAATGAAAACGACCCAGTGATGCAGCCTAGTGGCTAGAGCCTAGTGCTTTACCTCGGGTCCTTCTGGATGCTGTCTATGGAGGGCGAGCGGGTGGCCCCGTCAGCCATGACGACCGGCTGCCGGACGTAGTTGCCCTCGGAAGGCCGGTACTGGGCCAAGCGGTAGGGCTCTGCGTACGTGGCCGCCGTGTTCAGAGCGTAGTTGCTTCTTTGGTACGTCATGGCACTACGCTGGCTGGAGGTCCTCTGGAGGGTCCCCATGCCTGAAAGCACAAAGAAAAACAATTCAGATTGATTTGAACAAGAGAAATATACGCCAGCTACCAGACCTGGACTCAACTAGAACTCCCTGGGCTAGTGAAGATTAGCAGTGTGGTTCAAACCTTTTCACCTAGACCTTTTCACCTAGTAGTGCACTCTATAAGGAATAGGGTGCCATTTGGGACACACCCAGAGACGTGTTGACTGGAGCTGAAAACACAAGGCTTTTTGACTCACACACCAATTCTTCCAATCTGGATCCACTTAATGAAGAGGGTAAAATGGCGCTCCCATGATTCCACACTAGAGAAGTCTCCTCCTTCAAAGGGATTGTTTTGTTGTTGTTGTTTCTTTAATTAACGAGGTAGGATTAAGCAAGCCAGATCCTGCAGGTTTTTTCACAGGGCTACAGTCTGCCTTGTAATAGGTGATCCAGCAACACTCTTCTTCTCCTCCCTCTCTCCTCTTCTCCTGTATGCTTCAGTGTGGTCTGAGGCCAGTGAGCCCTGGCTGTGTCCGACACAGGAATAGACACACAGTCCTCCCTCTTTAGGTGAAACAGCACCAGCACTAAGCTAACACACCAACAGGACATCCTTCCCTCCAGGCCAGGGTAAACATTTAGTCTGCCAGAATTTTAACTGTGTCATCGTCCTTAAACCATGTCTATTTTTCTGCCCCTCTCTCCTCCTTACGTTGTGATATTGTGACCTAGTTTCTAGGACAATATGCCCTACACACTCACACAGCCTGTCCCTGCCTGCCTTCCTGCTCAGAGCACACAGAGCAGAGACCATGTGACTGCGTGACTGTTGCTCTCCTTCCCTCCGGTCAGATCTCTATCCTAACATCCTGCAGGGACTGGGCCTGCACACGGTGCACACACCGAACACACACACAAGAAACAAGACGTCAACTTGAAGCTGCCCTCCAAAAATATAAAAGCCCACATCAATACCCCTCTCTATTTGGCAGTTCATAGGCCAGTTCTGTGATATCATGAACGACTCGATACTAAAATGCTAGTCTACTAAAATCCTTTTACATTAAGAAAAAAAAAAATCCATCTTTGAAATGCCGTACCCGAGTTCTGCGACTTTCTTTTTTGCAACAGGGATCGATATTTCCATTTAGCATAAAAACCTTTGTCCTCACAAAAAGAAATACACGCCACCAGAAATACTGTAGATAAAGAATTTATGGAAAGAGAGCCAGGGAAAAAGGCCATTAATATTTAATTTCACACCATAACAAAGAGTGCTTGGGGATCAAATTGGATATTTATTTCTAATGATTTTTTGGTAAGGACTCCAAACTACCTTTTTTGCATTCCTCTCAATATAGCCAGGCCGCGAGCACATTATGGTTGCTTATCGTTATCTGAGAGGAGTCTTCTTCTGAGCATCAATACCATTTATTACTGAACTTATCAGTCCGGGAGGATCTCAGATCTGCTGTATAGAGGATGCTAAATGGCTGCATGCTGGAGGACGATGGAGGGGCGATGAGGAGAGAATTCTAACATCCAAACACAGCTGGCCGTGGCTACCTCCCAAATAGAACCCTAGTACCTATAAAGTACACTACTTTTGACCAGCAATAGCATGCCCTACTTTTGGGCCCCGGTCAATCAAAAGTAGCGCACTTAATAGGGAATAAGGTGCCATTTGGGACGCTGACTGTTCCCTGGCCCCTCATCCCTCTTCTCATTATGAGTGTGACACACAGGTAATTGACTCCTTTGTGGCTGGCGTATCAGCCCATGCCTGTCTCCTTCCTCTCCTCTTCTCTCCTGTCTCAGCCCCATCTCTGATGGAGGAGGGAGGAAAGGAGTGCAAGATAGGCAGGCTGGCAGGCAGTCTGGCTGGGCTGGCAGGCAGTCTGGCTGGGCTGGATGGCTGTCTGGCTTGGACAAAGTGTTCCCAGGATAGATCATGTAAGAGAGAGAAAGAGAGGGAGGGAGGGGGTAGGGGAGAGAGACAGAGCGAGAGAGCGAGAGACAGAGCGAGAGAGCAAGAGAAAGAGCGAGAGATAGAGCGAGAGAGCGAGAGACAGAGCGAGAGAGCAAGAGAAAGAGCGAGAGAAAGAGCAAGAGAGCGAGAGAGCGAGAGACAGAGCGAGAGAGAGGGACAGAGCGAGAGACAGAGCGAGAGAGAGAGCGGGAGCGAGAGAGAGAGCGGGAGCGAGAGAACCTGTGCTAGAGTGGGAAAGGCAGGAGGAGTAGCCATGTAACAGCTATGTATAAACTATGACGGGGTCATTTTAAATGAAGACGACTGCTCTCTCGCTCTTCAACATCTGTTTCTCACTAACGCTGCTGGTCAAATCTGCTTATTAATGCCATGGTTCCATCCTGCTTGCATTAGTGTTCTCATCATTACACATTGAGATTAAGTTAGGGTTGCAGAATTCCGGTAACTTTCCCCAAATTCCTAGTTGGAAGAAGTAAGGAAGGAATAAGCAGGAAATCCTCCAACCAGAATGTGGAAAACCTGGGAATTTTCAGAAAATTACCAAAATTTTGCAAGCCTAAAATGAAGTGTAGAGCAGTGTTTTCCAAACCTCTCCTTGGGCCCACAAGCCGTTCCATGTATTTTAAATTAACTATTCCACAACTAGCATACCTGATTCAACTTGTCAACTAATCATTAAGCCCTTGAATAGGTGAATCAGGTGAGCTAGTTCAGAGCTACAACTAAATTGTGAAACGTCTGGGAGTCCCCAAGGAGAGGTTTGAAAACCAATGGTGTACAGTAGGGCTGTCAAACTCATTCCATGGAGGGCCTAGTTTCTGCTGGTTTTTGTTTTTTCCTTTCAATGAAGACCTAGACAACCAGGTGAGGGGAGTTCCTTACTAATCAGTGAGCTTAATTCATCAATCAAGTACAAGGGAGGAACAAAAATGTGCAGACACTCGGCCCTCCATGGAATGAGTTTGACACGTGGTGTACTGTATAGTAGTGTAGTGTCCTACCTGATGGACTCCTGTAGATGGCGCTCTGCGAGGAGTTGTTGAGGTCCACTGGGTCGTGGTGGTTGGGGCTACGGTACAGGGGCCCCTGGAAGGTCCTGTCCTCGTAGATGGGTGTGATGTGGCGGTCAGGGGACATGGCTGACCTCAGGTCCTGGCCCAGCTGGCTGTGCTGACTGGCGTACGAGCTCCGCATGCCTGGAGGGAGGGAGAGCGTAAGTCTGCGTCCCAAATTGCAACGTATTCCCGATTAAGTGCATTAGTTTTGACCAGAGCCCATTGGGCCCTGTTCAGAAGTAATGCACTTAATAAGGAATAGGTTGTCATTTGGGACGCATCATCAGACAGTAGTACAGGCTCAGGGTTAGAGACTGCCACCGGCCTCGTGTGTCTTCCTATGTGTCACCCCTAATCCCCATTACCATCACACAGTGACAGCTACTACACAGCAGCACTCACCACAGCTAGCTAGCTAGGGATCAGCTGCAATAATTCAGACACGCTGAAATTGCTGTCCATGTTGGAGTTTGACAGTTAAGCTGCTAAAGAATGACTTAATTGAAATTAATTCAGGGCTCATTTCCAATTCTGTGTAATGCTAAGGCAGTAGCTTTATGCAGTTTGTCAAGCCGCACCGCCCCCAGCTCTCTGCTACGCTCTCACTTTTAATGATCCAGCTTTTTAACCCCCTAGAGTCGATGTCTGTGCCCCGCGGAAATCGTATAGGCATAAAAAAATCCCCATAAAAATCTGTCAGTTTAAGCTAGAGATATCTGGTTTTGCATTGGAATGCGTCTCAATCCACCGCATCCGCCGATGTCGCACTTCCGCATCTGCGGTGAAAGGTGGCAAACCTAGAGTGGTGTTTGTCAGACCATGAGACTTCCCGAAAATTGGTCTTCTCCCAAAATCATCTAGCGTCTGAACGGTTTGGCCTACAAACTACACTATATATACAAAAGTATGTGGACCCTCCCTCAAATTAGTGGATTCAGCTATTTCAGTCACACCCGCTACTGACAGGTGTATAAAAATCGAGCACACCGCCATGCAATCTCCATAGACAAATATTGGCAGTAGAATGGCCTTACTGAAGAGTTCAGTGACTTTCAAAGTGCCACCTTTCCAACAAGTCCGTTTTTCACATTTCTGCCCTGCTAGAGCTGCCCCAATCAACTGTAAGTGCTGTTATTGTGAAGCGGAAATGTCTAGGAGCAACAACGGCTCAGCCGCAAAGTGGTAGGTCACACAAGCTCACAGAACGGGACCGCCCAGTGCTGAAGCGCGTAAAAATAATCTATCCTCGGTTGCAACACTCCCTATCGAGTTCCAAACTGCCTCTGGAAGCAACGACAGCAAAATAACTGTTTGTTGGGAGATTCATGAAATGGGTTTCCATGGCCGAGCAGCCGCACGCAAGCCTAAGATCACCATGCACAATGCCAAGTGTCGGCTGGAGTGGTGTAAAGCTCACAGCCATTGGACTCTGGAGCAGTGGAAACGTGTTCTCTGGAGTGATGAATCATGCTTCACCATCTGGCAGTCCGACAGACGAATCTGGGTTTGGCGGATGCCAGAAGAACGCTACCTGGCCGAATGCATAGTGCCAACTGTAAAATTTGTTGGAGGAGGAATAACGGTCTTAGGCTGTTTTTCATGGTTCGGGCTAGGCCCCTTAGTTCCAGTGAAGGGAAATCTTAACGCTACAGCATACAATGACATTCTAGACGATTCTGTGCTTCCAACTTTGTGGCAACAGTTTGGGGAAGGCACTTTCCTGTTTCAGCATGACAATGCCCCTGTGCACAAAGCGAGGTCCATACAGAAATGGTTTGTCAAGATCGGTGTGGAAGAACTTGATTGGCCTGCACAGAGCCCTGACCTCAACCCCACCGAACACCTTTGGGATGAATTGGAACGTCGACTGCGAGCCTGGCCTAATCACGCAACATCAACGCCTGACCTCAATAATGCTCGTGGCTGAATGGAAGCAAGTCCCCGCAGCAATGGTTCCAAAATCTAGTGGAAATCCTTCCCAGAAGAATGGAGGCTGTTATAGCAGCAAAGGGGGGACCAACTCCATTTTAAATGCCCATGATTTTGGAATGAGATGTTCAAACGAGCAGGTGTCCACTTACTTTTGGTCATGTAGTGTATCTGTTGTTCCATATAGTGAATCTGTTATTCAATGCGTTTTGTATGGGCTAATAGCAGTAAGGCCAAAAAAACAATTCCATATAGCTTAGCAGAACCACCCCCCCTCCTCCGGCTTAGAGAGGGCTTAGACTTATGGGTTAATAAGCTCTCTTTGCAGTTTACAGCTGAAAAAATAACACTTAGCCATATACAGTCGTGGTTAAACGTTTTGAGAAAGGCACAAGTATTGGTCTTCACAAAGTTCGCTGCTTCAGTGTTATGAGATATTTTTGTCAGATGTTACTATGGTATATTGAAGTATAATTACAAGCGTTCCATAAGTGTCAAAGGCTTTTATTGACAATGACATTACGTTTATGCAAAGAGTCAATATTTGCAGTGTTGAACCTTCTTTTTCAAGACCTCTGCAATCCGCCCTGGCATGCTGTCAATTAACTTCTGGGCCACATCCTGACTGATGGCAGCCCATTCTTGCATAATCAATGCTTGGAGTTTGTCAGAATTTGTGGGTTTTTGTTTGTCCACCCGCCTCTCCTCGTCAGCTCTCTCACCTGTGTTAACGAGAGAATCACTGACATGATGGCAGCTGGTCCTTTTGTGGCAGGGCTGAAATGCAGTGGAAATGTTTTTTGGGGATAAAGTTCATTTTCATGGCAAAGAGGGACTTTGCAATTAATTGCAATTCATCTGATCACTCTTCATGACATTCTGGAGTATATGCAAATTGCCATCATCAAAACTGAGGCCTTAGACTTTGTGAAAATTAGTATTTATGTCATTCTCAAAACTTTTGACCACGACTGAGTGTACAAACCATTAGGAACACCTTCCTAATATTGAGTTGCACCTCCTTTCTCCCTCAGAACCGATTCAATTCGGGGCATGGACTCTACAAGGTGTCTAAAGCGTTCCACAGGGATGTTGGCCCATGTTGACTCCAATATCTCCCACAATTGTGTCAAGTTGGCTGGTTGTCCTTTGGGTGGTGGACCATTGATGATACACACAGGAAACTGTTGAGTGTGAAAAACCCAGCAGCATTGCAGTTCTTGACACAAACCGGTACGCCTGGCACCTACTACCATACCCCGTTCAAATGCACTTAAATATTTTGTCTTGCCCATTCACCATGTGAATGGCACACATACACAATCCATGTCTCAATTGTCTCAAAGCTTAAAAATCCTTCTTTAACCTGTCTCCTCCCCTTCATCTACACTGATTGAAGTGGATTTTACAAGTGACATCAATACGGGATCATAACTTTCATCTGAATTCACCAGGTCAGTTTATGTCATGGAACGAGCAGGTGTTCCTTATGTTTTGTACACTCAGTGTATCGCATAGTACCTCTATGGCCTAAATGGAAAAACATAGTGAAATATAGCCCAAAGCCTCGACCACTAGTTGAAACCAATCAGCAGTGAATTCAGTATCATTGAGGGCTACACCTGAGAGGCCACACCTGGGATGAGTCCAAAATGTCACGCTATTCCCTATGTAGTGCACTATAAAGGGAATAGGGTGCCATTTGGAACTCAGACCTGGGTCTTGACAGGCTAGACATTGCCTTCCCCATCAGGCTTTGTAGTGAGAGTGAAGGGATATATGGGCTAGTAGAACACGGCTGAGCCCGGATATGCCAGGAAGTGGGTGTGTGTTTCTGGAAATGGGGGGGGGGGGTCCTCCTAACCATAAGCTCATTTACCAGGGGGAACCCCAATGAGGTAAATCATATTAGAAATTCACACCAGATGAATCACTATGACAACAGTATTTGGGGGAGTCGCAGCCCAGCACGGCTGACTAGCTGACTGACTGAGGCCTGGTCGGTCCGGATGTGGAACAAAGTCTGACTGCGTCCCAAATGTACCAGGTTCTGGTCAAAAGTAGTGCACTACATAGGGAATAGGGTGCCATTTGGGATGCAGACTGAGCCTAAGGCGGGAATGCAGCATCTGCCATTCCGCATCCAGGCGTATAAATCCAGCCGGCAGTTATTACTGCAGCAGCCTGCCCAAAGATCACAAGCCTTAGCTCCTAACACCATGACAGATCCCACACACATGGCTCATGTGGATACAAGTGACCTAACCTTGCACCAAGGGGACTCCACTCCCCAGTGCAAGAGAGACTGCAGTGGCCGAGTCACTGTGCACTCACTGCATACTTCACTCACTTCAATAGAGCCCAAACACCATTATTTTGAGTCTGCCAAGCTGCTCAACACTGTCATGAGTTAATGAGATAAATTAGGGATTCTTATCAGAGTTCAGAACAGCACAAATGAATAAATAAAAGTGTTTGCCTTTTCGGGGAGAGCTGAAGCCCAGTAAGGCAGCTATAAGCTGTGTCCTAAATGACACCCCATTCCCTATGGGTCCCGGTCAAAACTAGTGCACTATAAAGGGAATAGGGTGCCATTTGGGACACATCTTTAGCCACTCAGCAGCAGCACACTTTCCTACTCTGCCTCAGAAACAGTACCAAATAAACAAGACCTCTGGAGCATCCGCAGTGTGCCCTCAGCTGTGGAGAGAGACCCAGGGGGGTGCTTTGTCTCTGGGGAGGATGCTTCCGCGAGACCCCGGATAAACTCCAGCTTCGTATGATAACTAATGAACAGCTAAATGACAAGCCAGTGGAGAATAAACCCTATTCAAACTGCTTACTGGGGGGACATGATAAGCATAGCTACGGTCATCCGCTAAAACTGTAGTTCTCCATGGGTTAGCAGAAGGGACATCTACTACATTAGTTCAGAGAGGATGGGAAAAGAAGCGACTAGAGTTGCAAAATGATGGTAACTTTCCCCAAATTCCCAGGTTTTCCAGAAATCCTGGTAGAAAGTTTCCAGATGTCCTGCTTATTCCCTCCTGATTCCGGGAATCTTCCAAACGGGATTTCCGAAAAACCGGAGAATTTTGCAACCCTATGGAGGGACTTCCCACTGTGCAGAAACTGGTTGAATCAGCGTTGTTT